AAATAGAAGTTAGTCAATTGATGCAACATAAACAGCAGCAAAGCTCAAGCCAAAATATGATCCAACTGAAACTAATTCAAGAATATGATATCTGATGTTATTTTAATGCTTCCACGCTAATGTCATGATTATGATATTTGATGCTATTTTAATACTTCCACACTTAAGTGAATGAAATTTGTTAAGAATGAAATTATTTGAAAAATAAAACAATTATGGAAAATGAATGAAAATTTTTTTCTATTAATTTGTTTGGTATGCGGGATGAATAAGATCTAAATAAAATGTTATATCATCATGCATTATCATTTATAACTATTTTATTAAAAAAATACTTTTAATATTTATAATAGTATTATTTTTATTTACGACAATACTAATATATATATATATATATATATTTAAATATAATAATTTAATAAATATATTTTGTTTGTTACACTCATCTTATATGATAAATAAAGGAATTATGTATTTACATACTTATTAATTAATACAAATATATCTTCACATAAACCCCTATTAGCATATGTGATCGAATATAATTATTTATAATATAATTCAATTTATCAATAAATATATAATATATATGATTATATAACAATAAAATAGTATCTTTCTAAATTATTTATAAATGCACTTTTTGTGAGTTTTATTTTCATATACGTATTTAATATATCTAAATAAATATGAATACTAAATTTTAATAAAATTATTTTTAATTATTTATTTGATTTTTTTTAAATGGTTTTATTTAATATAGTTTAATCATCATCTATAGAATATATGATTTTTTTTTTGTTATTTAATATAGTTTAATCATCATCAAGCAGAAACTTCTTCATTTTGACATCTCAGGCAATAGCAGGAACATAGCAATCATCAAGAAGGCCAGAGTAAGAACATGGAACCAAAAGATCAAAGGAACTATTAAACACTTCATTTGGAAGTGCATTGATGGCTCTTTACCTGTTAAAACAAATCTTGCCAACAGAGGGGTTCCTATTGATGTAATTTGCCAAAGTTGTGGGGAATTGCCTGAGTCCATTGAGCACACTTTATTCCACTGTCCTAGGGCCAAACTGATGTGGAAGCTAAGTCCAGTGCAATAGGAGGGGGTTAACTCTGACTGCTGTAACTTCAGATCTTGGTGGTGCAATCTCTGCTCTTTGAACAAGAATCCTGTTGCTGAAGATAGAATCCAACTCACAACTTACCTTCTTTGGTGGTTGTGGAAATCAAGGAATTTATGGCTTTTTGAGAACATACTTATGCCTATCAAGTTGGTGATTTCTAAAGCTCATCAAGCTTGGTTGGAATTCAGCAGTCTGTAGTTGTTGCTTTTTGGGGTCTTTTTTAGGTTGCAGTTTTTTCTTCTTTGTGTTGTTGTGTTTAGTTTGATGTGTGTTAGTTGGGGAGATTGATATTGGACTAGGCATGTGCAGTGGTCCGTTTATTATTCTCCTTTTTATTTGATTTGAGCTTGGTTCTAGGCCGCATTGTTGCGAGTCCTCTCATTTTTTCTTTTTAGGGTGTTTATTCGACTTTTGGCCATGATCTGTGTTCGAACTTTGTTCCCTTTGGTTCTTATATATATTGTCTCTATCGTTCCGAAAAAAAAAAAAAAGACATGTAAATGAAAAAATCATGTGTTGGTTATGTAATGACTAATCCCATGGAGTTTGATTTTACAATTTTCATTGGAATGATCATTACTTTTTATAAGACATATCAAACTGAAATAAGAATTAATAAGAAAATAATCATTCAATTCTCACGTCATTCCATCATAACAATCATGCCATTAAGGGTATCATATTTGAATAGCAAAAAGTATTTGGGTTCTAAAATTAGGAAGAACACGGTGACAAGTATAATATCTGGTATAACTCGGTGGACCGGCATGGCGGACATCAATTCAGAGTTCTTAAGAGCTCGTATGTCAAGTATGACCAGGAGGTAGCTCGGTTATACGACGATAAGAGCTTTCGACCCGTTTATCAGATAAAGAGGTGATATGTGGTCTAACTAGTGGTTCAGAATAATGTGGTCCAGGAAGGCTAGTATCTCGAGGAAGACAACCTAAAAGAGAATGGCTCGACGGAGTCTTGAGAGAGAAGATCATGCATCTGATACGGAGATCTAAGATTATGGTTAACTAGAAAACAAGATATATTCATATCTCATTCATTAAAGTACCGCAAAGATGGGATTTCAACCTGCGACCTCAAAATTATGAGCCTTGCGAGCTACCAAACTGTGTTAGACCATAGAAACAAAGAAGAAACGATTTCTCAGAAGGTAGATATTTATTCTCCCGTCCCTGTGTTTTTTGGATTTGATCCATCAATAGTAGAAATAGGTGAAAATGGGGAGAATTCTTGCAAACAACGTACCGAAGCCCTTAATCTTCGCTCATTCAATGACTTGTACAACATAAAGCCCAAATCCTTCAAGTTCAATTCTCTCTTTTCTCTCTCCCTCTCTCTCTCTCTCTCTCTCTCTCTCTCTTCAATATAGTGTAACTTTTTTCTTGTTTCCTTACCAACTTTTGAAAATATCTTTTTGCTCAATTTAATTTTTTTATTTTTTTTAGCTCAGATTTTCAGCTCTCATCCTCACATTTTGCAGCTCTTAAATCTCACATAAGCCTCTTCCTTTTATTATTTCATTGCACTTCCTTTTCCTATTAGTAAAAGAACACAATTTAATACATACCATATAAAATATAGTAAGAACTATCAATGTTAAGGAATGATAATATATATGAAATTTCCTAATAAATATCTAGCTCCTTCTGCTCCTTTAATTCTCTAATATATTTCTTTTTTCCTACCATCTAAAGGAAAATATTAATTCTAAACACTAATGAGAGAATAACTAAGAGATAGAAAGTTAAAATAACGATATTTTATTTTCTCTTCAATAATTAATTTCATGCTACCTATTTCAAGAAACCAAAATGATTGAGCCGAGATTGCGTTGGTTTTTCTGGACAAACATGATCGTTTGACATCTTTGGTTTAATTATTTATTTTTTTATTTTATTGTTATTCAAGTTGTTTAATTATTCTAGACTTTTATTTGATAATAAAGTTTATGATAAGTAGGAATTTATTAGGAGTTCTAAGTTTATTGTAAGTCTGTTTCTTAGTAGTCCTATTTAAGACTCTTATTCCATTGTTTTGAGATGTGGTTGGTTTTGAATGAATTAATAAAATTAGGAGAGTACTCTCAATTCTCCATTCATTTACATTTTCGCTACGTCCCCCAGTAGAGACTGGTACGATTCAATTCAACATTTTGTTCGTTCGGGTCTGAGAAAGTTTTTCATTTTTTTATCTGTCATTGACATATATAGTTAACAAATATTATTTTTTATTAATTTCAAATTCATTTTTCTTAATGTTGATAGAGATTAATGCTCGATTGAATATAAATGCTT